ATAAATATTAAAATAAATTCTTATTAAAAATTTTCAAAATGTCACAAAAAACTTTAATTAGTTTTTATCAAAAAAAATAAAAAAAAAATAAAGGAAGAATTTCTGATCTTTTATCTGGAAGAGCAAAAAAAAAGAGCGAGATATCGGCAACAGCATCTACTCACAGGTCAAAATCAAAAATATCAGATATATATCAGGCACATATCGGCTATATATCGGGTGCCAGATATTTATGGATATCAGGCATATATCGGACACATATCAGATACATATCAGAATATCGGGTACCCAATAGTCATGATTTTTATAAGTATCAAATTGTTAATTTTACAAAATTTATAATGTACCCGATATTGTTATGATATATGAATGATAAATAATATTTCTCTATCTGGTGCTCGATATTATTATTAATATCAGATTTCGGGTGCCCGATATTGTCTTTAATATCAGGTACATGATAATAAATAGTAATATCGGGTACCTGATTTATTAAAAATTTTTATTCGGGTGCCCAATATTCTTTTCTGAATTTTATAATAGGGTTATATATTAGGTTACAATTTAGTCAATCAAATTACACTTAAATTATCAAATAACTAATGGCCAGATCTACAATTATATATTACGTGTCACCTATATTTTCAGATTTTTATTACTTAAAAAAAATTGTTTCAATTTATTGTATTAATTTATTGTATTTCTGACTGAGACATATGTTGTACAAAATTTTCCATTGAATTAAAATAAAGTATTTAAAGTGAGGAAGTAAATAGGAGAAGTGAAGGGAAGCGAGAAGAGTGAGTGGAATCAAGGGGAAGAGAGTGAAACAAGAGGGAAGTGAGGGAAAGCGAAGTAAATGGGGAAGCAAGATAAATCAGGAGGGAAGTGAGTGAAGTGAGGGGAATCAAGAGGGAAAGAAGGAAGGAATTAAAGGGAGGAAATTAAAATAAAAAGAAAAAGCTAAATGATAATTAATTATTTATTTTATAATAGATAACGGAAAGAACTAACAACAAATGACAATAAAGATGGTGATAATAATTATGGTAACAATAATTTCATAATGAATTAATTAATTATTTATTTTATAATAGATAATGGATAAAAGAATGAAGAGCCAACAATGATGGAGATGATTAATAATAATTATGGTAACAATAATTTCATAACAAATTAATACAATTAATTAATTGTTTTTATATTAATTATTATTAAACAAATTTATAATAATGATAGTAATGATGATGGTAACAATGGTGATGGCAATAATGGTAATGATGATTATTATGATTATAACAATAATAATAACATTATTACTTAAGTCAGATTTATTAATTTATATAAATTACAAAAAAATCAATTTTTTCATTTTTATAAGTTTTATTAAACATTGAATTTATTATTATAGCAACAATACAATAATTGGAATAAAATTTCATTCTTGGACTTGTACATTATAATTATTTATCAAATCTAAAATAAATAATAATTATTTAATTAATTTTTAAATTTTTTGTTAATAAAATTATATATATTATTTAACTTACCAATATCTTCGCCGTTGATTAATAATGTTATTATCATTAGCATATTCCTTGATTTGAAATTTTCGAGGCTTTGTAAAAGTTGGTGTTTTACTATTTAAGCCTTGATTATTATAAAGTTCAAGTTCAAGTTGATTTAATTCAGCATTATCAATTTCCATAATATTAAAATTGTCATCTTTATGGAAAAAATTATTATGGACAAAATAGAAAATACTATGCCTAATATTATTAACTCCACGGATTAAAGGAAAGTTACCATGAAGTAAATAATGAGAAGAGAATGCGACAACCTTACCAGGTTGAAGTGGTATAAGGGTATGAAGTTGAGGAAAATAAAGTTCACCTCCTTGAAAATCACCTAATGGTACCAGGCAATATAAACAATTTGGTGCATCTAATTTATCCCAATGATAACTACTAAGAGAATTGAAATTAATAGCAATCATTGGAAAAATTTCAAATGGTCTTGGAGCAAAAGGACCCCAGGAAAGATTTTTCAACTTCAAATACATATTCCCATAATAGTCTTTTATAAATTTGTTAACATAGTTTGATAATGGTACAAAACTATTAAGTAAATTATTAACACATGGTCGATGATTTAAATTGTGACTACTAGCCGTATTAGTACTTGTATATGGAAGACTAGTAAACCTTCTATAAGCATCAAAATGTTCAACAGAGTTTTTGCAAAAATCTGGGCTTTTATGTGCTTTGTCACTCATTAAATGGGAATAGTACTTATTTACTGCTTTGGTAGCTTGAATTAAGGCATTTTGATCGTCTATATCTTCTAAGTGAATCAAAGTTCAGTCATTTTGATCCACTATGCATCCTGGTTCATCAAGATAGTGAACACTTTTTACTAATTTATTATCATATCTTGCTAATCCATATTTTGATTTTGCTGAATTCTTTAATTTCAATTCTGGAACGGTTAGATTATCTTCAATTCTAATAAAACCATTTTCAATCTTAAAAGAAAACTCTTTAAGAAGTATATTTCATTTATTTCTTAAAAGACTTTGAAGTTTGTTTCTTTCCACACGTCTACCCATGTGAAAATTATTCTTATTAAACCATAATCTAAGTTTGTTCCATTTTGTAGTATTCCAATTAACATTGTCTTTAATAATTATATTTGAAATTATTAACTTAAGATCTTCCGAAGAAATTTTGGATAATTCAAGTGAATAATTTGCTGTACATTCCCTTACTAAAACTCCAGTTAATAAATTACACAAAGGTATTTTATTCTGGATTCTAGTTGGTATCTTATCATTAGGATCAAGAGATTGGCTTTTCCATAAACAATCCTTGTAGAATTTCTTTTCTTCTAAAGATACCTTTCGAGAAGCACCTTGGTAACGATGCTAATAATAATTAAAATATTGATATAATTTGAATAATTTAATTGTAAAATATATTTCAAGTAATTAATAAATATGTCTACTTGAGTTGGATTAAAAATCAGATTATATTGGTATTGTTGCTGTTCTTGTTCTTGTAATAGTTGTTCTTGTTCTTGTTCATCTTGTAATAGTTCATCTTGTAATAGTTCATCTTGCAATTGTTATTCTTGTTCATATTCATGTTGTTGTTGTTGTAGTTCTTGCTCACTTTGTCCATGTTGTTGTGGCGATGATGGTGACTGCATAATAGAAAATAGAAAAAAAAAGAATAAAAAAATTAGAAATAAAAAATACTATCGTTTAATTTAACATCATCTATATTTATAAATTCTAATTATTTGACACATTGGATTACAATTTAGCCAATCAAGCCACACAAATAACTAGTTCGGGATCTGTGATACATGTATTATGTATTATCGCGTTACCCATATTTTTTAGATCTAAAAAAAAATTGGCTAGTTAAAGCTTAAAGAATCGATATAATTATATAATCGATTATAATTATATAATCGTATAATCGATTATAATCATATAAACGATTATAATTGTTAATCGATTATCGATTATACGATTATATAATTATAATCGATTATAATCGTATAATTGATTATAATTATATTATAATCATACGATTATAATCGATTATATGATTATAATCGATTAAACAATTATAATCGATTATATGATTATAATCGATTAAACAATTATAATCGATTATATGATTATAATATAATTATAATCGATTATAATTATATAATCGATTATAATTGTTTAATCGATTATAATCATATAATCGATTATAATCGTATAATCAATTATAATCAATTATAATCGATTATAATTGTTTAATCGATAATCGATATATGATTATAATTATATAATCGTATAATTAATTATAATCGATTATATGATTATAATCGTATAATCAATTATAATTGATTATAATTATATAATCGATTATAATCATATATCGATTATATGATTTTATCCGTATAATCGTACAAAAATTTTCCATCGAGTTAAAATAAATAAGTAGGTAAATGAGAAGGTGAGGTTAATGGGGAAAACGAGGTAAATAGAGGAAGCGAGATAAATGGGGAAAGCGAGGTGAATGGGGGAAACGAGGTAAATGGGGAAAACGAAGTAAATGGGGAAAACGAAGTAAATGGGGAAGTGGAGTAAATGGAGGAAGCGAGGTGAAAGGGGGAAGCGAGGTGAAAGGAGGAAGTGAGGGAAGTGAATGAAATGAGGGAGAAGTAAGGGAAGTGAGGGAAGCCAGGGAGAAGTAAGGGAAATCGAGAGAAAAGGGAAAAGAAGGAAGGAATTAAATTAAAATGGAAAGAAAAAGCTAGATGGTAATCAATTATTTATTTTATAATAGATAATGGAAAGAACTAACGACAAATGAAATGAAGAAGATGATAATAATGATGGTAATAATCATGGTAACAATAATTTCATAATAAATTGATACAATTAATAATTGTTATGGCTAAATGATAATTAAATATTTATTTTATAATAGATAACAGATGAAAGGACGAAGGACGAAGGACCAACAACAAGTGACAATGATGGAGATAATTAATAATAATCATGGTAACAATAATTTCATAATAATAATATTATTATTTATTATTTAAACAGTTTATAATAATATGAGCATTGATTGAATTTATATAATTTAATTATTAGATTTAAATATATGCCTATTTTAATGATGAAAAAAAAAAAAAAACTCTTTCCCGAATTATTTTGTAATACAAAATACGCAGTAATATTATATTAAAATTGTTTTATTATTATTTCGTTTTAATTAAAAGTTCAGAAACTTGACACAATGAGCGATAGCTCAACCAGTGGCCCCCCAAGGAGGTCAACAAGAATCCAGTTGGCTTCACAATCAAATATACAAACACAATTAAAAAACCAAAGAAACAATCCCATTAAAAAAGTGGACAAAACAGTGGCATCTTTTATTTCAAAAGAAATAACAAACATAAAAAGTAATATTAAAAATAATAGTGATATCAAAGATATGGAAGTTACGGTCACGATAGAGTAACCTGAAGCAATAATTAATAATGACAACGATAAAGGTAAAGGAAAACGAATCGACTTTGAAGATTTGACAATTGATATCGATGAAAATAACGGGAACGAATGGACCGAAGTAACAAATAAAAAGAAAAAGGCAAAAAACATAGACAACACGGCAATAGATCCTGAAGTAATAGAAGAAGATAAAGAATCAGTATTATCATATGAGACTGATAATAGTTTTCATCCTGACTGGAGACAAGATTTCAATGAAAAAAATTTAAAATTTGAACTCACGCTGAAAAAATTCCTAGAAAATCGATAGGCGAAAAAATTGAATTTGTAAAAAAAGCCATTAGAGCAAAAACTGAATTAACCCTAGTCAGAGTAGAGAACAATAGAAAAGATAAAATGATCTCTGTATTGTTTGACAACAAAGAAAATATGCAAGCCGCACTAGAAGTAAATGTAGGTACAGATGCGCAATTGCCCACTCACATGCATAGAGCACAATTGTATAAAAATAATACTTTGAATGAAAGGAAAATGGGAATTAAATTATGGGACATCCCTATTGGTGTGAAACATAATGAATTAAAAAGTGAATTAGAAAATATATATGGCGAAGTGGAGCAATTAATATTACGCCCAACAGGAATGTGGCAATGGGCAATCGCTGTCTTTAAAAAAGAAGAAGTAACTAAAGAACTTCTTAATCAATGGAGCATAATTATTGGTGAAGACTCACTCTGTGTTACACCTACTGATTGTAGTTATGATAATCTCATGACACGTGGTAAATTTGCTGCAAGGATGATCAATTTACCATCTGGCATCACAGCAAAAGAGATTATTCCTAACATCAAAACGATTGGTGCACTTACTTGCTATATCCCTAGGTCTCGCAATTATAGACGTAGAAGTGAGGCAATTATTTCTTTTGTAAATGAAGAGGCACTAGAAGCGGCAATTGGTAAAGAGTGGAAGGCAGGTGAATTCAATATTAAAGTCACAAGCATGGCAGCAAAAACATGCTACAGATGTCACTCCAAGGAACATATCGCTAAAGATTGTCCACGGTCAATAAACGAAAGGAGAATAGAAGTAACAAAAAATGAAAATTTTCTTAAATTCAAAAATATTTACAAAAGACACAATCCAAAATTATATACAAACTTAAATAAAAAATTTGGTGAAAAATCATTTGCTGAGGTACTAAAAAATAATAATAATAACAATAATGCAACGATATATACAAACAAAAAAAAAGTAATAGTAAATGATGATGTAAAAGAAAGGTTAGACAGAATGGAACAAATTATCACACAACTAGTCGATAGATTTAATAAATTAGAGAATTTCTTACAAGACAAACTCAATCTTAACTCTGAAACTAATCAATATCATAGTGATTACAATGAACCTGAGGTTGATTTGCAAATGGATTTTGATGAACTGAACACACACAATATAGAAGGAAGCAAAGAAGTGAAAAATAAAAATGAAGATAATTTTGGTAGATTAATACAAATAGTAGAACAAGTAGGCCAACGTATGAATACACTTGAATCTAGCATACATGCGAATGAAAATAAAAAATATAATAATAGTAATAATGATAACCAATATGAGAACTGGGGGGTCCCAATATGCCCAACATAATTAATAGACAATTTTTATATATTAATCTTAACAAATATGATGGACAATAATAATAATAATATAAATAATAATAATATAAAAATAAATAATAATACAATAGAAAATAATCAAAATATAAACATTAATAATAATAAGTTAGATCTAGATATAAACTTAATACATAATAATAGTGAAATAATAAATAATTCAGATTTTAAGATAGCTACGCATAACGTACGAGGATTCAATGATACAGTTAAATGAAATCTTTTTTTTAATTATATCAAAAATGAACAGTTCGACATAATGGGTATAGCAGAAACAGATTGTGGTGAAAGCAAGGGGCAATGGTATAAAGACAATAAGGATAAATTTCGTATTCACTGTTCGGGTAACGGAAAAGGAACTGGAGTAGCCTTAATAATTTCAAAAACACTAAATAAGTACGTGTGTAAAAAAAGAGAATATGAGGGTAGAGCAATTTGCGTAGATCTAGTTCTTCCAAGAAAAATGACAATCTGCGTAATGCAAATTTATTTACCAAGTAAAAAAAGTGACAAAGTTAACGTAATTAACTGGATTAAAATCCAATTAAATGAAGCTCAAAGGAAAAAGAAAAAAGTTATCGTGATGGGGGATTTTAATGCAGTACCATCACCTGCAATAGATCGAAATAACAATAGTCACTCACAATTTCCAGAAAGTGAAATCTTCCTGCTGCTAAGTAGTCATGATCTAATTGACTGCTATAGAATAATGTTTCCAGAAAACACAGGGTATACATGGAAAAGAGATAATTCAAACGAGGAAAGTAGAATTGACACAATTTGGATGTCACACAGATGGTATGATAAAATTATATCCTGTTTTTTAGATGACATCAAATTGATAACAAGTAGCGACCATAAACTTTTAGGTGTAAAAATGTTGAAAAAGTGGCAAATAAGAGAAAAAAATGAGGAAATTTATCCCAATGGACCTAAATATAATATAAAGCTGATGGATGAGAAACGATGGCTAAAATTTGCAAAGTTGGTAACTGTAGAGGTTGAGTCATCAAAATTCTTCAATGGCATCAATTACCAGAAAAAGAATTATAACTCACTAAATAAAAGTTTGTTAACACTTAAAAATATAATGATAAAAGTAGCAGATTAAATTATACCAAAATATAAATGGAAAAAAAAAAGAGATTGCTGACTCCAAATATAATCAAAGAATTTCGCATTACAAAATCGCTAAATAAGGTATATAAGCTATTTAACATGGAACGAGCAAAATCAATTAAAACAATTAAAAACAGTGAAACTTTTAAAAAAGAAGAAAGAAAACTGAACATGCTAAATTATAGCATGGAAAAAATCTTTAGCAGAAACAATACAAATAATTTTGAAATACGAGAAGAGCTAAAAGCGGAAAGTCTAGTTCATCAAAAAATTGCCAAAGCAAAAGAAAAAAGTGAAACAATAAAACAAATACAAAAAGCAATTGAAAAAAGATGGGAAGATCTAAAAGATAATCCGAAGCGTATGATAAGTAGCATATTAGATAGACCACGTAAATCAATAGTAATGGATCGAATTGTAAAAGAGACATCAGATAACAATACAATTATAATCACAGAAGGTAGTGAAATCAAAGAATTGGTAAAAGAACATTTTCACAATTGGACGAGGAAAAGAACAACAGATGCTGGGTTATTCAAAAAATGGGAGTCTGAATACACACCACTTAAAGAGATCAACAAGTCGTAGTATGACACCATTTATAATGAGGTCAAATTAGATGAATTAGAGTTAGTAATTCAATCTCTACCAAATAACAAAGCACTGGGGCAATCCAATCTCCAGTACGAATGGTTTAAAAACCTCCCACAAAAAGGTTTAGATATTTTTCGAAAGATAGTAAACGACACATTACTATTAAACGATATTCCTAAAGAATGGAAAAAAGGCTATATCTATTTAATACCCAAAACTGCTGAGTGGGGTAACAATTTAAATATCACAAGACCAATCACATTATTAGAGACAGGTAGAAAAATATTTATGAAAATCATAAATAACAGATTATCGGCTATTTTTGAAAAACGAGAAATTCTATCAGAACATAACTATGCTGGCTTACCGGGAAATGATACACAAGGGCCTATACATATCATAAACAATATCATGGAAGATGCTCGCACTAATAATAAAGAATTATGGCTTATGTTTTAGGACATGAGCAAGGCATTCGACTTAATAAATTCAGACTGCTTAATTTTGGCACTACGTCGTATCAAAATACCTGAAAAATTTATAGATCTTATGTCGAGACTACTTAAAAATAGGGAAAATAAAGTGATAACGGCACATAGAAATACTGAGTCATATAAAGTGGAGGATGGTATCGATCAGGGGGACATCATTTCACCATTAATGTGGAGAATTTTTTATGACCCACTAATAAACCGCGTGGCAAAGTCAAAATTGGGTTATACAATGAAAGAGAGCTGGATAAACAATCTGTATCACAAAACACAAGCGAATATTAGCTGTGAGTTAGCAGTTGCAGCATACGTAGATGATACAAATTGGTTCGCTCCTAACAGGGAAAAAATAGAAAAAATACTAGATATCGCTAACGAATTTTATACAATAAATGATATTGAAATCAATAAGTCAAAATCATACTTAATAGCAATCAATGCCGAAAATCAGATAGGGATAAGGGTGTCAATATGGGCCACAATAACCTAAAACCAATCGACAGTAATATCCCTGTTCGCTCGTTGGGAGTATTTGTAACTGAGAGTGGGTCAAAAAAATTCCAAAAGGAGCATATGAAAAAAATGGTAGACTACATGGCAACCATTCTAAGAGGAAAACAAATCACAGATAAACAAGCGATATATATCTTTAACGCGGTAGTCATCCCAATGCTAGAATATAAATTAAATGACATGACACTCACAGAAAAGGAGTGTAATAAAATAACATCCAGATTTATAGCGGTAATCAAAAATAAAGCATGCTTGGCACGCACATCACCTAACGCTTTAATTTATACAAAAGAAGCATATGGAGTGTGCTACCTTTGGAATAGACAAGTACAAATGCAGAGTAACAATCTACTAAATCGTATTAATGATAAGGGGATATTGGGCTTAACAACACGTATTAGGTTACAACAACTACAAAATACGTTCTGGTCGGATAATGTGATAACTGAAACTTTGGATATAATCAAGTTTAAAAGAGGTTATTCACTCCTCAATGAGATTTTAATAATATGCAAACAAAATGAAGTCACCTTTAAACTATCAGACGACATGAAAAAGAGTTTGTTGATTAAAGGAGGCAAAACTACCATTGAAGAATTAATAAAAGAATTTGATTGTTATGGTCAGTACAGACGGAGCCTACGTAAGCGAAAACTGTTATTTGTGGAACAAATCTTATCTTTTAATGGTCATAAACTATTACACTGGCAAGCTATCAAAGATAGTGTGAGAAAGGGACCAAAGCCGGGATGGTTTAAGCTTGTCGAAAGGATACTTTTACTGAGTAATAACGATAGAAGCATCATTCCCAATAACAATTTCAATAATATGAAATATAAATATAACGCATGTAACTGGAATATTAATAAAAAAAAGTAAAGAGATCAGCTGGTTAGTAATACAAGATAATAATACTTGACAACTAATTCTGGGTAAGAAAAAAAAGGTCATAAATAAGCGTGAATTTACTATGATTCACTATATAAACGAATCCTCACCAAATGGGACAGAGAAATCTCCACTCAGTAAATGCAAAGGGTGCACTCATAAAGATGAATCATTATCAAGTAACTTCAAAAACAATGAGATATGTCTAATCAAAACGGATGTGGCACAATCTGTTAATATCAACGTAATTAAAAGTCAAATATCAACCAGAGTCACACCAAATAGAGATAATAAAATTCGTCTCAGATCAGAAAATGAAGCTATCTTAGATGGACTTAATAACATCAAAAATAATAAATTAAATGCGATACAAAATAATAGTAGCACACAAGTGTTACGCATACCAGAGATACACATTAGAAATACAAGAACTGAATCCTCGCGTATACACCCAAAATACAAAAATTTTTGGATGGAGGAGACAATACAGAGAGAACTGGATGAGATCAGGATAAATATGAATAACTACAGAGAAAATGATATATATACAGATGGTTCTCTAAGTGTATCAACTGATGATAATGAAGACCCCTTGATGGGATGTGGTTGGGTTATCATAGTTGAAGAACAGATTAAACATCAATTCTGTGAGCAGGTTGAAAATTTCATGTCATCCACTCGAGCTGAACTAATGGGAATTCTTTCAGCGGTATATGCTACACCAAAAAACACAAAATTAAATATATATACAGACAGTCAGGCCTCAATAGCAGCTATTAATAGTGGCATTATAAACAAGAAGAAATTATTTCGAAAAACAAAAAATTGGTAGTTAATTTAGTCAATTATTGAACTAACACAAGTCCATAACATTAATTTATACTTACATAAAGTACAAGCTATACGTGTTGCCCAAATCCCAAATCATTTGGGATTTGGGATGCCAAAATTCCAAATCATTTGGGATTTGGGATGCCAAAATCCCAAATTACTAGTATTTGGGATTTGGGATTTGGGATTTCGGCAAAAAATACTAATCATAATTTGGGATTTGGGATTTGGAATTTTGACATTTGGGATTTTGGCATTTGGATTTTGAATTTGGGTGGCAGGTATAGTACAAGCACACTCTGGAGTAACTTTTAACGAACGAGCGGATGAATTGGCTAAAGAGGGAACCCATAAATCAACATGTACACCCAAAATTGGAAAATTAATGTCAGTTAATGCAATTGGATGTTGGAAAAACATCGACATAGAGGTCCCTTTTCGTGGATTTGTGAAAAAACTAGGTACAACAAAATCTACAGTTAACTGGAGATTGTTAAATAGGAATAGTAGCTCAATATCAGATTACAAGAGTCAAAATATTAATTGGGAGATCACATGGAACACCATAGCATTATCATACAAAGCAAAATCCACAACAAATAACAAAGAAAACAGAGAAAGAGCCTTTAATATGAAATTGTTTAACAATGAACTATCTACAATGGAATGTATGTACAAAAGATACCCAAAGATATATAAAAATAATAAATGCATACGATGTAATAATAATACTACTGAAGATCAAATACATGTCTTCACATGCAAATCGAATTTAATAGATATACAAATGTGCAAAGATAAATTTGTTAGCACTTTAATTGATCAACTTAATAAGATAGCTAAAAAGAAAACAAAGTCAGACAAACTCAAAGACGAAATTAATGAATTAAATGAACTAAAGTAGTCCGAAAATGAAAAGAATTATGACAAAAACGAATTATCATTTCTTGACATTATCTTCGGATGCATCCCCAATTCGTTATACAACAAAGTATCTTCGCAATTACAAAACAAAAGAGAAGTAATAAAATTTTTGAGGAAACAATTGTAACCTTCAAAGAATATATAAGAACATATATATGGAACTATCGCTATAAAATCATAAAACAATGGGAATTAGAAAATGGTATCAAAAACATAAATAAAAGAAAGAGATTAAATCAATCCTATGAGGAGATTATTATTGATAACAATAATGGTAATAGTAGTATAGATAGTAGTAATGATATCAGTAATAATAATAACAATATTGACAATAAAAACAATAATAATAATAGAGATAAACATAGACAAATGAAAAATAATTGCTATGACGCAGTTAGCAAATATATATTATCATTAGTGAAATATAATAAACATTGGTCAAATATATATAATATAGGCTGTTTGGCAGGGCTTTAACATGTCGTTTATAACTGTTGTTATATGGCGGTAGGTTGCAGGTGTGTTTCGTGTTAATCTTAGGATTGACAATACGAATTAGTCTGAGTCTCATCTTTTCGTTAGTTACTAGAATAAGTTGTGTATCTTATATTATGTAATATTAATGTAGGAGACTTTCTCTTTTTTTAGTCAATAAATTTGAGGCAAAGCCTCGCTAAAACTTAAAAAAAAAAAAAAAAAAAATCTATCCTTTAAATATAATACGCAATTCATTTTTGTCTTTAATATTATTTAGTACTGTTTTTAACA